TAATAATTGTAAATATGTTCTGTAATAAATCATTTACTTTTTTAAGCGYCCACTGTCCCACATTTAAATAGCTTAGAAAGTCCACATTTCTTACCAATAATGTAATATACTGCATATGATATAGAACCCCAAGCATCTCACGGGGTAAGTTGAAACYGAACATTTTATATACAATTGAACTTAGTTATGCACAGACATTTCATAAAATTTGCACTATTTAATACAAATWAATCCTACACTGAAAATGTGTCATTTTAATGATGACAAGAATTCTAAATTAATCTATCGAATTTATTTAAATATTATAAACGCTATTTACCTACACAGTTGACATAAATATTAGATATTTTTATACTTGTACATTGCTCGTTTAAAAATAAACGGCTTTAATAAAATCACACAGGTACGTGTATAAAACTTATGCAGATAAAAGCTGCGCTAGTATGAATTAAACATAAATTAAAATTAATCCTATTCTCAGCGGTAGATCGAAAATATTATGAAGTGTTAAATACCTAGTATATAATCTAGAATGGTGAAAAACTCACAACATCAAAGATTAACGGATCTGTAAGACTACAAATTTAAGAACAAAGCCACCTATATTCTATAATTTTATACAAGACGTTAAAAATATCGATAAAGTTTTAATGTTTTTCTTTTTTCAGAACGAATTTTTATTACACGCCACAATTTTTAAGTTATACCTACTCATAACGGATTCTTTTTATAATTTGATATTATACATTACACACTATAACAAATAACAGTGATACTAGAATACGGTAGAACGTATACACACGCGGAGGTGGAAGATTTTACAATAATTTCACGCGTGTTTCACTGTATTCAAATTATATTAAAAGTATATATATATAAGGGCAGATGGGATAGGTATAGACTGCAAAGTAGAATTTACTMATCGAAGCCTTTTCGAAACGGGTCAGTCTTCGTTGTTCAGGTCTTTCTCAACGGACGTTTGTTGTACGCGTTGTTCAGGATCTCAAAGTCCTCCACCGTCGTCGGGTCCGATGACTCGGAGGGTGGTGGCAGGTGGTGAACGTAAGGCGGCAATGGGTCGTCATATCTCTTGGACAGGATGGAAAACTCTCGGTGGGCGGCCACCAGTTTGGTTATTTTCGACGTGATCTCGTAATCGGTACACGACGAGTCCAGTGCCAGTAGGCTGATCACCGTCCGTCGAAGATCTTCGAGCTTTACGRACGGAAAGACATACACACATTTTTAAGGCCATGATAAATTATAAACAATAACGATATACACGTTTACTCGCAGACAAGTGAAACGTCGACTTACAGAACATTCTCGKCGTTTCACTTCACTCAATTGGAATTTAAGGGATGATAGGTCGTCCTGTAGCACTCGCATCGTGTGCTCGTTCAGAGTTTTGTCTTGGTTATGACAATCGGTGGYAGATTTCAACTGGTAAACAAAACGGAACGTCATTAGAAGACTTCAGATAATTCCGTTCGCTAAACATGATTTCTAATCAAAATTCGAACATACTTGTTCTTTGAGAACAGTAACTTTTCGTGAAAAACGCATCCGCAACATTTCCGATTCGACCAGGCGTTTCTCGAGATCGTCGATTTTCTTCGCTCTTTCCAACGAAGTCAACTATATAAGAACAAGTGAACATTTTAAACAAGATATAATCCTATGAAACGCAAACCATGATATGGTATTATACAGTATACTAACCTTACAGTCTCCAGCATCGGACAGTTGAAGTTTTAAGTCTCGGATCTGCGATCTACATTCGGTCAACTGTAGCTGTGCCTTGTCCAATTGCTTTTGCAACTTTTTAGCCCTACGCAGCACGTGTACAAACGGTTTAATTTTAATTATTTAACAAGATATATGTACGTGAAAGTGTATCTCGAAGTAATCTAGATCAAAAAAATTGTATTAAAATATCCAAGAATAAAAATTTAGGGATAATAAAATCAAAATATTGATCAAAAGTCCAAGTAAAAAAAAATAATATACATCATATAGTCTATATAAAAAAAATAACTCATAAGCTATTAACACTCTCCGAATCTCGAGGACTGTGCACAATTTGTTTCCAATTGGTATAAAGTTATAGGTTCCAAGTCTATATATGACTCATCTATTTAAACGTAATTTATTTATATATAATTATATATAATTAAATAAAAATAATATAATTATTAATCTTTTTTAGCAGGCTGTTTTCAATTTGTTTTTAATTTGGATATTTTTTCCCATTTAATAGGGTAGTTTTKTAACCACAGATTTTCTATCCATTAATTATTTTGAATTATTTTAAACTTGAATATTTTTTATTCAATACTATCTGGAAGATAGATTTTAATAAGCAAATTCATCGAACCCACCAAATACTATAATATATATCCTATAAATTATGAATATGTAATAAATATTATTATTATGTATTACAAATTTACAAATGTCCAATATGTTTAAAATGGTACC